GGCCTCGATTCATCACGACCCGCGGTTACCGGCCGCTCGATCTCGACGACAACCGCATGCGCGGGCGATGGGCTCGATACGGCCAGGGACGAGGGACGAGGGATCAGCAGGGGCGAAAGATAGGAGTGATGGTCGCGTACGGATGCAGGCACGAGCGCACGTATAAATCCTCGATATCTATGTACACTAGCGATAGCACAGGCTCACCCTAGCGTATACACGAAGTCCCCGTCATCTGCGACCGAACACAGCGACCGAAACTAGCGTAGCAACCGCCCGACCTCCAGCTTAGCCGTCGAAACCCTGTCCCCCATCTCTGTTCATCTACACTACTATCCGCTATCTCGGCAGCCTCTGCGGCGCCTCGAGGACTCGCATACACTCATCATTGCTTGGTCCACCCCACCGGCCTCGTACCACTACAACTGGAGCCCACCGCGAGGGTCTTTCGAGCTCGCAACCTGCCGATCTTCACCATACCTTAATCAATCATCACGTCTCTGCCTCGCGACGCTCGTGGTCGCTTCCTCCCTCGACGACATATCTCAGCAGCTACTACTACACCGACTCAGCCTCCAGCGCCTCTGTCATCCCTCTCCAGTCACTCCCGCTCCCTCCAGGAAGAACTCCAGGCGGCTGCGCAGCTTTTGCCTCCGCCGCACCCGTCTATCACTCCCCAGTCACCTATCCCTAGTAACTCTCTCACCGGTACCCCTACCATGGCGACTCCTATGCCTGCGCGACACGATCGCAGTGCGCCGGTCTTCAAAACTACTGCCGATCTCCTGGGCTACATCGACAAACTCGAGCGCCTGTTTGTCGAACATGGCGTCACTTCTGATCGCAACAAGATCAACGCATCTCTACGCTACCTCCCTCATCTTGAAGCACGCGTCTGGAAGTCTACCAATGCATTCACCGACGCCACGAAATCCTGGGCTGAATTCAAGGAGGAGGTCATCAAACTGTATCCCAGCGCCGCGATCGAAGGTCAAACCACGCGCGGTGATCTTGAGGCTCTCGTCAGGGCACGCGCTGCCTCCGTCATCACCTCTCGGGCCGAGCTCGGTGAATACAACCGCCGGTTCAAGGTACTCGCCGACGACCTCCTTCAAAAGCACGCAGGCCGGATCTTCTCGGACAACGATGCCAACGACGCGTACCTGCGGGGGTTCATGGCTGGCGACCTTCGGCGAACTCTCGTAATGCGCCTTGCACTCACGATCCCTGATCATGACAGTGAGCTCGCCTATGACCGTGCTAAGGTCTCTCAGGCCATCGCGGCGCGGCTTCACTACTCGAGCCTTCCAGTTTCGCTACTACCACAATCAGGCAGGAGGACTTATCCTCGGCAGTACAGACGGCGCTGAACGTGCAGACCTCAGCTCTCGACTCACGCATGGCCTCCATGGAGGCTATGTTCACTTCGCTCATGGCGAATCTGGCTTCTGGTGCCGCGGCGGCAACTCCGGCTGCTCCTCGAACTCTTTCTCAGCCGCGCCCTAGTACGACCGACGGCTGTCACTTCTGCGGAGGCTCGTGTTATGTTCGGAACTGTCCCGAAGTTGCTCGATACCTCCAGCTAGAATTAATCGCCCGCGGCGCTGATGGCCGACTCACTCTACCCAACGGTTCATACATCCCCGGCAGCCGCACTCGACCCGGCGCTGTTATGAAGGAACGCGTGGACGAATGGCACCGAGCGCATCCCGGCCAGGCAGCCGCTGCCACCCGTAACGACACACCGCCGCCAAATCGCGATCAGCCACCGCACCTCACTAGCAACTTTCTCGAATTTTCGGCCCCATGCTCTGGTGTCTCCACCTCTGGCTTCTCCTTCGAAAGCTCTCCGTTGGCCTCAGCACGCATTGTAGAACTCGAGGAAGACGATACCGACCCGATTCAGGGATATCTGCGCGCTCAGCTTGCCATGTGCGCAACGGGGGACTCGCGAATTCCTGTCCTGGAAGCGGAGATCAGCAAGCGACGTGCCGACGTGGCGGAAGGGGTTGAGAAGATACGGAGTTCATCGCGGTCGACGAAAGGCAAGCCGGCCGTTCGCTTCGCCGACGAGCAGCACAACGGTCGCGCTAACGACAATATTCGCAACCGTCCCATCCCATCGCCTATCCGAGAGGCCTCACCTGGTCTCGATGACTCACCACCTCCCGCACCTCTGCGATTGTCGGCACCAGCCGCTCTCCCAACATCAGCTACTGTACGATCAGCACAGATCCCTGCCGCAACCGCTGCCCCGGGACCTCGTCCACCCACGACTGCGCCGCATGCCCCGCGAATCATTTACCCTCCGAAAGCACCTCTATCCTTTCTGTCCTCAACTTTCTTCCCCATCTCAGTACTCTCTTGATCGGTTTCGCTCGTTCCGTTTCGGCTCTCTGATCACTACTCCAGCCAACTTAATCAACATCTATATCTGTCAAGTCGCGCCCATTCCCATTCCGGCATGTTCTTCTCGCCTTTCTGCCCCTTCTCCCGCTTCTAGTGACACGTGTGCAACCCGGGCCTCAAAAGTGCCGCCACCGCCTCCCTCTCCCCCACCGTCTGCGCTTATTCCTCCGTCTCTCTTCTCGTTTTTTGGCGACTCTCTGTACCATTACCTTACTCAAGGTGCTGCATCATCTGGCGGCATCAAGCTCTCTCACCGCGCCACCGTCTTTGACCTTGAACTTTTCAGCTTTGTTTCTCTTCCGTCTGCCGACAATGGCGCTTCCGCGTTCGGCACAAAGTACAAAAAAGTCTCGAAGCGCACTTTCCCCGTCTCGGCAACTACTCCTGAAGAATTCCGCATCGTCCGCCGGAGTCCACCTGACATCCTATCCAACATGAAACCGCTCCCGACGACTCCGCCTCCCTTCTCGCCTGGCGTCCGCTATACCACAGAGCGGATGCTTGTGCAGAAGATCGACCCGACCAACTTCTTGCTGGCTGACGAGATCGACCTGGCTCACTGGATCATTCGTGAGAACGAGCTTGCGTTCGCCTGGGACGAAACCGAGAAAGGGTCCTTCTCCGCCGAATGGTTTGACCCCATCAGAATACCAACTGTCGAGCACGTTCCCTGGGTCCTCAAAAACATCCCACTTCCCCCTGGTATCCGCAATCGTGTCATTGAGATCATCAAGTCGAAGATCACCGCCGGCACCTATGAACCGTCCAACTCGTCCTATCGGTCCGCCTGGTTTTGCGTCCTGAAGAAGGACGGTACATCACTTCGCCTCGTCCACAACTTACAGCCCCTCAACCGTGTTACGATTCGCGACGCCGCTGTTCCGCCGAACATGGACCAAATGGCGGAAGACTTCGCTGGTCGCGCGTGCTACGGCATCTTGGACCTTTTCGTCGCCTTCGATCAGCGCTCACTCGACGTCCGATCTCGCGATTACACTACATTCCAGACTCCTCTCGGCACCTTCCGACTCACCGCCATCCCGATGGGCTACACGAACGCAGCGCAGATTATGCAAGGGGACGTGACGTTCATCCTCCAGGACGAAATCCCGCAGCACACCACGCCATACATTGATGATGTACCCGTCAAGGGCCCGCGATCGCGATACGAGTCCGACACTGGCGGCTTCGACACAATTCCCGAAAACGCTGGTATACGCCGCTTCGTCTTCGAGCACCTGACGACGATGCATAGAATCTTGCACCGGATGCAAATGTTCGGCGGTACCTTCTCCGGACCAAAATCTCTCCTCTGTACGCCCGAAATCGAACTCGTTGGCAATCACTGCTCGTATGAAGGACGGATTCCTGATCAATCCCGGATCCGCGTCATTCTCGACTGGCCGCCCTGCTCCACTCTCACCGATGTCCGATCGTTCCTCGGCACTTGCGGCGTCATGCGCGTATTCATTAAAGACTTCGCCCGTATTGCTCGTCCGCTGGTTCGTCTTACGCAGAAGGGCGCACCGTTCGACTGGGGCCCAGTGCAGCAGGGTTCTATGGACGAGCTCAAACACGCGTTTGCCACCTCTCGTGCGCTACGGCCGATCGACTACTCATGCGGCCGTACAGTCTATCTCGCGGGCGACTCATCTCTCATCACGGTTGGCTACGTCCTGTCTCAACTCGGAGCGGACGGACGACGGTACCCCGCTCGCTTCGGATCGATCCCATGGAACGAGCGGGAATCCCGGTACAGTCAGCCAAAGATCGAGCTATACGGCCTCTTTCGGGCGCTTCGCGAAGAACGTATCCACCTTCTAGGCGTGGCCGATCTGGTGGTCGAAATGGACGCCTCGAGCATTAAGGGAATGCTCACCAATCCCGATCTCCAGCTGAACGCCACCATCAACCGCTGGATTGCCGCCATCCAGTTGTTCGACTTCCGCCTCGAGCATATCCCTGCCTCTCTGCATAAGGGCCCTGATGGCCTCTCTTGGCGACTGCCTGCTGACCATGAACGAGTGGACACCGCCGACGCCGCCGATACTTGGATCGACGAAGCCTGCGGTTTCGCTCTTGCTGTCACCTCACGCCTCTCGCCACGTCTCATCATCCACGCTCCACCGACTACCACCGCATTTAACGTCAACTTACCCGTTGCCTTGGTTCCCGATGACACCTCCTTGACGCCCGCGCTACTGCCACGGGATGACAAGGCTGTCGCCGTCGACACCCGCGTTCGATTGGTCGAGGCCTACTTACGCGACCCGCTGGCGAAACTCCCTCTTGACTCCGCCCAGCTTCAGGGTTTTATCCGCTACGCCCACGACTTCTTCCTGTTTGACGAGCGTCTCTGGCAGCGCGGTCTCGATGGCGCGCACCAGCTTGTCATTTTCGACCCTCCACGCCGACTCTCGCTGTTACAACAGGCTCACGACTCGCTTGGGCATAAAGGGAAGTTTGCGACACGGCGACAGCTTCTTCTCTGCTTCTGGTGGCCCCACCTCGACGCCGACGTCTCCTGGTTCGATGACACTTGTCTAGAATGTCAACGCCGCCGCACCCACCATGTCACGATCCCGCCAACTGTCGCCTACCCCGCTCCGCTCTTCCACAAAGTCTACTGCAACACGATGCACATGCCGCCTGCCAACAAATTCAGATACATTGTCCACGGTCGCTGTTCACTCACCGGATGGCCCGAATGGCGCACTCTTCGCGTCGAAAACGCTGAACAGATCGGGTGGTGGCTCTTCGAAGATATACTCTGTCGGTGGGGTGGCGTCGAGGAGGTTGTCACCGACAATGGTCCACAATTCATCGCGGCTGTCACCTGGCTTGCGAACAAGTACGGCATACATCACATTCGGATCTCCCCCTATAACTCCCGCGCTAACCTCGTCGAGCGTCGTCACTTCGACGTTCGCGAGGCCATCGTCAAAACCGCCGGGGACGATACCGCTCACTGGTACAAATATGCCCACCACATCTTTTGGGCCGAACACATCACCGTCCAGCGCGCCACCGGGCACTCGCCATTCTATATGGCCCATGGCGTTGAGCCAGTGCTGCCCTTCGACCTTGAAGAAGCGACTTGGCTCGTGAACTACCCGACAGGCGCACTTCCGACTGCTACCACCGATCTCCTCGCAATACGCGCTCGTGCTCTACAGAAACGCGAAGTCGATCTCGAACGCCTCCGCGATCAGGTTTTTGCCGCCCGCATAGCCTCTACCTCTCGATCGGTCATCCAAAACGCGACCAAAATCATCGATTATGACTTCCAGCCCGGCGCCCTGGTTCTAGTACGAAACTCCGAGAACGAAAAGAACTTATCCGGCAAGACCAACCCAAGATACCTCGGCCCGATGGTAGTCATCCGACGCAACACCGGCGGCGCTTACATCCTCGCTGAACTCGATGGTTCCCTCTCTCGTCTTCGTTACACCGCTGCTCGCCTCGTTCCTTATTGCGCCCGCGCTACAATTAACGTCGACGTCACTCACCTTACCGGCCTCTCAAACAAGGAACTCGCGGCCGCTACTGTCGACAGCCCTTCCGAAGATCAGTCGCCGGATTTCGACCCGCTCCCGTTCTCTGCCGCTGGCAACGACTTGTTCGTTCACAGCGCCTCTACGCTCCCAAGGGCGTGAATTCTTTTCTACCGGACGACTTTGGTCGTCCTCTTCCGCATCCTTCTCTGCCTTTCCTCTGTCGTCTATCTCCCCTACCACTTCCTCGCCGTGTCTGTTCGGATACCTGCTGAGGGCGCTCTCGCACCCCATGATGCTGTCACATGTGCTCAATCGTGCTTTCGAGCCGTCGCACTGACGCCCGTTCGGCTCTGGCTCCCAGAACCAGGTCTCTCATAGATTTATTTCGCTATTTGACCCATCGCTCCCGCTTCGCCTTTACTCCCCGGTAGTGACCCGGGAGGGTCACTGGTTTTTACTTGGGGGGGGATGTGGCGCTCTGACTTCGCGTGCGTCCGGACACGCACCTGATTGCGCTACTCAACGCCCGGTGGCAGTGCGGTGGCCTCTCGCTCTCGCCTCGACGACCTCACCCTCCCCCGGCTCGGCATGGCACACACGGAATATCCTCCAGCACCCGGCCGCCGACGGTCCGCATAGCCGCAACGACATCGCGCACGAGAACAGGGCTCAGTCGGCACCAGCATGTTATCGGCGGCTCTGCTCTGGCCCACGACGACGACTTCGCATCTGGCAAATCGGCGGCCTCGATTCATCACGACCCGCGGTTACCGGCCGCTCGATCTCGACGACAACCGCATGCGCGGGCGATGGGCTCGATACGGCCAGGGACGAGGGACGAGGGATCAGCAGGGGCGAAAGATAGGAGTGATGGTCGCGTACGGATGCAGGCACGAGCGCACGTAT